CTTAACTTTTTTATGCTCTAGTGATTAAATCATTAAACAGCCCTCATTATTCATTCCAACTTCTGCCAGGGATATGAGCTCTGTATCAGAGAAACACCCCCTCACCATCATAATCATCATCATGACATCTCAGCAAGTTGATACAATTATGCCAGAGAACCATCCCCATAATTACACAGTTTTTTAGCTCATTTCTCAGTGTATTCACCATTACTATAATCACAGTGAGTACAGTGTGTTAAATTAAGAACAGGATCTACAGCTAGCATCTCACAGGATGAAGAGTCTGCCTGCTGCAATTCTGCAACTCTTTACAATATAACTCTGCAAACCTCTCAAAGCTGAGGCTCCTATTCCAGTATTTCTTTGTTTTTGAAACAATTGACATTTACAACTCATTTTAAGATGCATTATGAAGAATGGTATTTTAAGGAGGGAGAAGGGGCTGACCTTGTTCCCATGTAATTTTCAAAGTATTGCCAAAGAATTGGCAGGGCTGGAACTCACTCCCTAACTTTGGCTATTAGGCACAGATTTGTATGCGTATGGTATATATAGTTGTGGACTGTCATCACAAAAGCATTTTTACCTTTCGGCTAACAGTGATCACAAAGACAGCTTAGGCAAATGAAATCTTAGCAGCTACTGATGCTTATTTGCCATGAGATGCTTTACATAAATGACTATATTATTACTATAACAAAATGCTTTTGTTAAAATATGATGCTGGAAAGCAACAGGCAAAGAAATACTTTTCTAAAGAGAGAATTTTCACAAAAGACAAACTAAAGGGAGGAGGTGCAGAAAGGTTAGAACAGAAGAATCATAAAAATTTAAAAAGCCAAGTAGAAAACCTAGGGAACTTCATGCCTGTGGCGACAGTAACAGAATTCTCTTTAACAGAATGCAAGCAGACATACTAACAAGTTCTTCCTGTCTATTTCCATTTACCAAATCAGGCACTGCCAAGAAAATGTTGCACTTTGAGATTTCCAAGGAAGGCAGTGAACTATCCGTGGTGGAACATGCTGAAGTGTGGCTCTTCCTGAAGGTCTCCAAGGCTAACCGGAGCAGGACAAAAGTTACCATCCGCCTGTTTCAACAGCCACGGCAGCCAAAAGGCAACTCTGAAGGAGCAGAAGATATGGAGGATGGGGGGCTGAAAGGTGAAAGGAGTGAGACTTTGATTTCAGAAAAGGCAGTGGACACCCGTAAGAGCACTTGGCACATCTTTCCTGTCTCCAGCAGCGTCCAGAGACTCCTGGACCAAGGCAAGAGCTCTTTGGATGTACGGATTGCCTGTGACCTCTGCCAAGAGACTGGAGCCAGCTTGGTGCTACTGGGCAAGAAGAAGAAAAAGGAAGATGATGGGGAAGGGAAAGAAAAGGAAGCTGGAGAATTCACAGGAGAAGAGGAGAAGGAGCAATCACATCGGCCCTTCCTGATGATGCTTGCCCGGCACTCAGAGGACCGCCAGCACAGACGACGGAGACGAGGCCTGGAGTGTGATGGCAAAGTCAACATCTGCTGCAAGAAGCAGTTCTTTGTCAGCTTCAAGGACATAGGATGGAGTGACTGGATCATTGCACCTACAGGTTATCACGCCAACTACTGTGAAGGAGAGTGCCCGAGCCATATAGCAGGCACATCTGGTTCATCGTTATCTTTCCACTCCACTGTCATCAACCATTACCGCATGCGGGGCCATAGCCCCTTTGCCAACCTCAAGTCATGCTGCGTGCCCACCAAGCTGCGGCCCATGTCCATGCTCTACTACGATGATGGCCAGAACATCATTAAGAAAGACATACAGAATATGATTGTGGAGGAGTGCGGCTGTTCATAGACACATGTGTGCGCAAGGTCCTTCTCGTTGAGAAGAAAATGTATCAAAAAGCCCAAGAAAAGGAAAGACCGGACATGGTATAACCTTTTTTGAATGAAACTATCATCAGAAATAAAAGCAAAAACAAAAGAGAGAGAGAAAAGAGGGGAAAAAACCCCAAACTTATGGAGGATTGGAAAATACTTCAGCTATAAAAAGGAAGAAAGCTTCATGAACCTGGGCTTGAATGAGATACGTCTGAATGGCATATGGGCTGGGGATTTCCCCTTCCTTTCAGTATGCTCTTTATCTTATTACATAGTATACTAAACATTAGTTATTACTAGGGGAGTTATTTTCTCTCCCTTAGTTACCCATCAGTTCAAGCCATGGTAGCAGCTCATCTAACCTGCAGCAATTTGGACTAAGTCCAAGATGTCATTGAAATTCCTTGAAAAGCCATGTGTATGAACACTACATCCACTGGCACTTTCCCCCCCAAATTTACCAAGGAACTGAGTAGGTGTGTAGTGTTTGTGTGTATATATATATGGCTATGTATTTACATACATATCTCTATATATACAGACACTATACACAGGCATATACTTAACATTGGTAAAGGGACAATATTGTGCAGGTGTATACACCTTCATCTTCTGCACTACATTTACAAAAAAAAAAAAAAAGAAAAAAGGAAAAAAGAAAAATGAAGAAAAAAAACAAATAAAAAAAGAAAGAATGAAAGAATAAAAGTTACATTTTGTAAAGGTGCTTACAAAGTTAGAACTATGCAACCTAGTTGGTTTGAAACTGTTTACCTGCGAGAGAAAGAAAAAAAAAATAGAAAGACTTTTTTTTAAATGGAAGTAACTTGTTTTAAAAAAAATTCTTCAGCGAGAGATACTTGAAAGGAACATGTTTGTCCAGTTACTGGAGCCAAACATTTCTATCTTTTGTAAAAAAAAAATTTTTAATCGTTTACTATTTGCACTACAATGGTGTCTGACCTGTCTAATCCTTATTTAACAAATATTTGCAAGGGAGGGTGGTTGGGTGTGGGAGGGGTTGAGAGCTGCACTTATTGTGAGCTATACAAGAACTGCTACAGCACACAAAATAGCTATTTTTATTATTATAATAATTATTATTATTTTGTACCTTAAAATGAATAGACACATACACCAAAGACATTTGTGCAAGCCTCTAAAAAGTCTGTTTGTGGTTGGTACCATTCACCTGTAATAAGTTAGGGTTTGAATTAAGGGTCAGTGGGTGGATGACATTCAGGCTAGAATATCTGTTAACCGGTTAAATTCAAATAGTGCTCTCAACAGAAAATTGCCATTTGAAGTAAGCCCAGAAAAGCCCTGGGATTTGGATCCAAGGTGCTCGGATCCGAGGTCCATCTAAGCATAATTGTATTCTTTTGCCTGTACAACACTAGAACTTGTCCCTGATGCACAACAACTGTGCATTGTTGGGAAACAACTTTATACAAGGGATATACATATATATATGTATATATGTCTGTATGTATATATGTATGTATACACAAGGTATAAGCACTTCTGGCTTCACTTTAATGTTCTTAAAACAATGAATGTTTGTGTGTAAAGCACAGTATGTTAAAAGATTGTTTGTTACTACCAAGTGGGAGGCTACATGTTCAAAATGGTATTTGTGTGAGAGAAACCTAAAGTGCTGGTGTACACTTAGAAAGTCTTGATGTACAATTGCAAGCAGCTTTGGGCCCTGCCCACCATCACCCCTGCAAATATACAGAACATGGCAATTGTAGGATTTCTGTTTGAAATGCAGTCTTCGGCAAAAGACTGGCTGTCTCAACCACCACCCTCTAGCATGACAACTCTTAATGGGTTTGCATGTTACCTGTAAGACCTAATTTTCAGTGTCAACACCTAACCTGAAGGGCCCAGCCCGTAGGGCACAGGTAGATAGTTTTTTAAAAAAAAATTCTATCGCTGTCATATTTAAAAGAATGTTAAAATTACAACATTTGTCTTTGGGTAGGGGGAGATGATAAGAGGGAATGGGAGAAACCTTTAGGCCCTGTTTACACTGAGTTGGATAACCCTGAGCCTGAAGCTTCAGACTCTCACAGGTTTGCAGGACCAAGCCCCTGTTAGCTGCCTTCTGATGGGACAGGCTTCAAAATGTCTCTCATGGAAAGAAGCAGTAACGTGGCTCCCCACCTTGTCGAGAGCACAGTCTGAAAAAAAAATTAAAAAAAAAAAAAAAAGAAAAAAGATAGCACAATATAACCCGGTCATATTGGCTAGGGATAGCGTGTTAGCACCTTCATGGCGAGAACCATATTTAAACAGTGTAATCAGGGCCTTTGTTTTTGTCAGCCAAAACTGTTTGTGTGTGCATGTGTGCGTGGGTTTTCTCTGTGTGTGTATATGTATGTGCGCGTAGGCGCATGTCTGTATTTGTATGTTATTAATAGAGATTTAAAAAAAAAAAAGAAAAAAGAAAGAAAAGAAAAGAAAAAAAAAAGCCCTTTCCTCAGTTGAATAGATATCAACATACATGCTTATAGCTAAGTTTTCTATCTATCTAATTTATTCCACAGTATTTAGATTGCATAGTACAGCTAATGGGTTATAGATTTATGTACTTTTTATACAATGCATTTTTTTACAGACTTGTTTGCAATTTGCAAAAGAAAAAATTTAAAAATTATAACAATTGGGTAAACACTAAATTTGCCACTCAAGTATTCTGTAAAATATCAAGGCTTTCTGATTTAAATTATTTGCAGAAGTTTGTTGGGTGTTTTGTGTTTTCTTCCTGGGGAAAGGGAGGGATACCAAATGCTAGTAGGAAAATTAAAAAAAAAAAAAAAATTAAAAATGCACAACTAATTTATAACTTAAACAAACCAAGTTCCTGACCCTGCTTAATTTGAAGCAAGTGGCAGAATTACTGTTGATTTTTCTAGAAGTAGAGCCAGGCTCTGGAACAGCAGGAGCAGGGACATAGTCTGTGACAGTTGTTGAGGAGAGTACCTTTTATTTCACTGGGCTTTAGACCTGACCTTAAAATTGGATGCATACTGTCTCAGAAACCCTTACTCATGTCAGCAGGCTCTTTGATGTGTACTGGTCTCCTTACAAGAGCTGTAAAACTACTCACACGCATAAAGGCAAGCCAGGGCGAATCACAGGTTCCTTTTGCTGTGGGCAGTGTGAAGGGAGAGAAAGGATTTTGAATGAATGGCACCACATCCAACATTGTTTAATTCAATTATTTAAACCAGTCTGCGTGCATCATGGTTGATCTCTGAACGTAGTGGCAAGGGAAGCAGGTGAGATGGCTCACATTGGTAAAAATTACTCTCAAGTGTGATTAGTTAGAGAGCATTGGAGACCTGAAATCCCAGCACCTTCCCCTAAACGACAATGGCAAAACTCCCATTGGCTGCAAGCAGAGTAAGTTTAGGCTCACAGTTTTCCTGGCCAAAGCAGAAATAGCCTTTAAAAAAAAAGTCTGATGCTGAGTTTGATACCAGCTGTTATGTGGTTAAAAGCGACTGGCCCTGGAAAACATGAAACTAGCCTGAGACAACTTCCAAGTGAAGAAAGAAAATAGGAGTTCAGATGTGGTGAGCATGTTTCGTGACAGATACACCAAAACCAGAAGAAGGTTTTCAAATCAAGATGTAACTGCTCCTAAGCCCTGCTTTTTAGCTTTCATTTGTGTGTATATACTAGTCTCAAATTTTAAAGGTTTCTCCCTCCAATCTCTAGATTCAGTCATGGGGTTTTGATTTGTGGTCAGAGTTATTTAAAGTAGGGGGAAATGAAAAACTATATGATAAAATAAAATAAAAAATCGGGATGTTAATTAAGACTGACTGATTCCAGGAAAAACACCCCATCCCTGATAATTTGATTTAATTAAATCTGCATGTACTTAAAATAGCATTAGAAATTGTTACCATATTTAAACAGTTGTTCAAGGGCATGCAGTCTCAAAAATTACTTCTCCTTTCAGGTATGACTATACCAAAAAAAAAAAGAGGCTTTTAACTACTAACACATTCCTTTCCATATAACCTACTTCCTGTTTATATTGAAAATGTATATCCAGTATATATTTAATCACAGAAATGTATTTGTTTAGTACCTCCACAATCTTCTTGCTTCGCAGTTGGCCACATTTGGTTGTCTTTCCCCCTCTCCATGTCAGATGCTCATTGGATACAAGGACTAAGCAACTGGCAGAAGTGCATGTAAGATGTTTCTTTGGGAGGGCTGAATGTATTTGTATTCTTGGGGTTTAGCAAAAGGAAGTGCTTACAGATGCTTATAATTATTCTGCACTCATGTATCACAGCAGAATACCAATCTAGGGCCTGAAACTGTAGAACTGAATGAAATGGGAGTTTTGTCATTGACTTCAATAGAAACAGTCTCTTACCAAATCATTGAAAAGTAGGACTCTGTTATATATATACCTCCTTTTGTTTTTTTGTATTTAGTTGAGATTTAAGCCATCAAGTTCATTTAACTGTGACACCACAAGGCCACATAGAGGCTAGCAGCAATATCTCTGATGTAGAGAAGTTTAGGCATCTGTAAAGTCTACGTGCAAAATGAAAATTTTATGGACTATAGTTACTCGTGTGGAATAGTGCCTTACTCTGTAAGCAATGCTGTTGATTTCAGAGGGTCTCCTTTCCTAGCAAGTTACCAGTCAGCATCAATAAAGTGAGTAAAATCTATTTCTGGACTGTAGATAGAAGAGATGTGATGGAAATGATTAAGTTCTTTAAGTTAAACCTCATGTTATTAGTGTGCATCAGTATAAGTATCAGATGCTAATCACTTTCCTTACACTGAAAAAAGCTTTACTCCCCATCTGTTCTCACTGCATTATGGGTGGAGTAAAAAGGTTTTCAGTACGAGTAAATGAAATCGTAATTTGACCTTTTGTGAACAATGATAAGCAACATTTTTGTAGGCAGAAATAAACAACACTTCTGGGTTATATAGCTATTTATTTTTTGAGATATAGTGAATCTGTGTTAATTCTCAATGGGTTTCTTTGTATTTAAATACTTTCAAAAACAATACATTGACGATGGGTTGAAGATATATATATGTATGTATA